TAATGACTCCAGGTCCCCAAAGTCAGCCAGCCGCCCAACACAATGTTATCTACGGATAGGAGTGCCGGCACACACGGTCAACCATCCACTGGCGAACACCCAAAGGAGTTTCTCACACACGTTCAGTGGGTGAGAGAAATGATTTATAATTTAACGTTGCTTCATCAAATGAAGCAGAGTCACTTTAACAATGACCAGGCCAACAGGAAGTCATAAAACATTGCCATAGTATAGTGTATAAGACATGCCAAGCTCCCCCAAAAAATAAAAAAACGACCATTCATGATTTTATTTAATTTCTCAAATCGGCTGTAAATCCTTGACTTGTGTTTATTTGATTTAGAATAATTCCAGCCAAAGGTTCAGTAAGGAGGAAGAGGCTGTATTGAGAGCCATGAATGGCTTTTTCGTTGCCCTTGGCCGCTGACTGCATGTCGCACGTCTGCTGGACCTGATGAACAATACCGTCCTTTCATTCACTGTTTGTTTTCGGGGATGTATGGCGGGCACACATACACACATACACCCCATGTCTGCCTTCAATCATCGTACACACATAAAACATAAACGCTGGACAAAGTCAATCTGTTCACACACACACGGACACACATGACCCGTCTGTCCTCATGTCTGAGTTAGTTGGTTGTCTTGGGTGAAGGGTCTTGTAGATATCCCTCTTCCTGCATTTGTTTAGGCCGCTCCTTCTCCGCCGCTGCACACTGGGATGCTGTAACTCCACGGTGGTGACGGGTGGGGGGGGGGGAAATATGGCAGTAAGAGTCCATGTTTCCTCTGGCACTCTCCATATCTTGATAACCTTGCTCTTAGTAGGGCGGAGGAGGAACGTGCAAGGTTTTGTTTGCTTTCAGTTTGTTAAACCGTCGGTTGCTGACCCTGTACAAAGAAACACAGTAATCTTATAAAAACGTTTAGAATAAAAACATGAATAGGTTTTATACAACCCGACCGATACTGGATATTTGGGGCCAACAGGTTCTTTTCACAGCAGACATTTTGACTTGTCATAGTAGGAAATTTGCAAGAGGTTCTAACTAAAATCAACAATGGCTCTGATGTGTCCCAATAAGCTGTGACAGTGAGTCAGCATGCACAATACCAAGACCTTGAAACTGATGTGGCTCAATGGAATTCATTCATGACTGTTGATGGTTCACAGGGACAGACCTCAGCCTTTTACTGAGCCTTTGGAGTAAGCAGAGTAAGCTCAACGCTATAAAACAAATAGGAATCTGGGCTTAAAATATATATATATAACATAATACTGAATATTGAAACTTTAGATTAGCCATGCAACCATGTTTGAGTTTCTGTGGTGACCTGGAGGCCAACCACACTCATGTTTTCTAGAGTTGCACTATACTAAAGCCTTTCTAATGCTGAGTTTACAGTTTTTGGAGATCGCTGACAAAAGCCTCAGATCGGAGGACAATCGGCAGGTTGAATATCCAGATAGGCATTATGTGGGTCATACACAGTAATGCATGTGTGGCCCATATATGCCTTCATAAGCTCGTCATCATCAATGCTTCCAGTCTGGGACCGCCTTTCCATCAGCGGCAGGGTCAAAGAGGAGCTGGTCAGAATAGCATCAGTCTAAATCTGTAGACAGTGTTGGAAACAGATGGACTGACACACAATCCCTCACCTGTTTTGTAAGCTTTGTCACTTTATAATAAGCAAACAGCACGAATATTCAATTGTTGCCCATGAACACGGGCTCGCTTCTCTGGGTCGGCTTGTCAACAGAGCAGCACTGTTTTTTTTAATAACCTGGCTTGAATGGTAAATATGTTGATGAGAAGAGAGAAGGGATTGATGGTGTTGTATGTTCTTTTACACTTAAACCAAATAGACACGCATACAGTTTGTGTCACTTGTCCTGTGCTGACCTGAGATATCTTAAAAAACTATTCACCAGTTCAATACTACTTTTGAATACTTCATTAAGGGTTTCTAAATGGTCACAAATGGACTTATTAATTGGTAATTTATGTATTCATGCATTATTGATGAATGAGTAAAATCCATGTGTAAGAGCTGCAAGTTGACATTCAATTGATCGCACTAACAATTATTGCCGGTGTAGTCAAAGCCATTTAATGAAAGTAAAAACAAAAAGAAAACCAGACTTGAAAGCTTCTGCAAGAAAGTAATGTATTCTGATCTACGTTTTTTTTCTTCTTTTTTCCCACACAAGCGAGCATCAGCATTTCATTTATGCAAAAGATTAAATATTAATAAGGAAAATGTTAACAAGAAGACAATTGTGCAAAAGAATAAAAGAAAATTAGATGTAAAAAAAAGATATATGTATATATTAATAAAACTCAAAAGAACATATGAGGGAAGACAGAGACAGAAACAGGATGTTGACTCATGACCACATGTCAACAGTCACCGCAAAGTACAGTAAATGTGTCGGATTAACAGGAAGTCTGCTACGACAACATGCTAGTGCTGTGGGTCAGGCCTGTCAGTGACTTAGTTTGTGTTGACGTCCATGAGCGAATATGTGTTCGCCTCAGCTAAAAAAAAAAAGAAAATTGTTTCTCTCCTCAACCTTTCCCACTCTGGAGTTTCATACTACTGTCACATTAGCAGCCACCGGTGGATTAGATGAGTTGGAGGGTTTACATGAGGTTGGGATGGCCGTTCAGAAGCACATGTCCATCAGGCCTGGACTGAAATGAGTTTGTATCAGGAGCAGAATAGCAGGCAGGGGTCAGGCTGGTGGGCGGGTGGGGTGGGTTACACTAATGCATCCTGGCAGTGTGGGCTTTTTCCATCAAGTACACATCACACAGGGGCAAACACAAACACGTGCAGTTGTCCCTTTTTCTTCAGTTGTCCGTAACACACACACAAACACACATTCATCAGACCTCATTCTGGCATCGCCGAGAAGCTGTAAGTGATGAGATTAAGTGAAGTCATGGAACATCACTTCTTTGTTACAAATCACTTCATGCTGTTCCTCTGTGTGAATGGAGTTCCACTTCTAAATCCAGTTTGACGAGCAGCACAATGGAAATGTCAGCGCGGACTTTAAACTGAGGAAGGCTAAGTAATTAGGAATTAGCAACAGCTTTTCCATTCCTTCAAATACTCCATTAAAAGGTGGCGCTGACTGAGAGGATGTTAGGTGCTCCATGCCACGGGCTTGTGTTTAAGGAAACTCGGAAATCACTGGCAATTCTTACCGACGCCTGGCAACCTTTTCAAGACGGAAAAGGGTGTTTGAGCATTAGTTCATGTAGACGGAGCACTCTGACACGGTCTTCACAAAGAGGCTTCATTTTGTCTTTTAAGAGCAAGAAAGGAGGGATACAGATGTAGCAGGGACCTAGTTCCTGGCCAGAGATCTGCCAGAGCTGGTCATGAGATCCTGGTTGGTTTGGCTTCTCCTGCTATTTATCCATGCTAAAACATGTTCTCTGTTATGTGGTCAAAGGCCCAGTTGTTAGAGAGGAGAATTTAGCCATTCAGATCACTGTGCGAGCCATTACATCAGCAGGAGGAAGAAGAAATTGAGTAAAGAGCAAGCATATCATTGACTACTTAAAGGAGTAGTTTGGGATTCATTTTGGGTAATGCACTTATTCACTTTTTTGCTGATAATTACATGCAAAAAACGACACCACTATGTTCATTACATACAATTTAAGTCCAGAAGTCGATTAGCTTAGCTTAGCACAGAGACTGGAAACAGGAAGAAACAGCTCACTTGACTCCCTCTCAAAAACCCAAAGAGCCTTCAACTTAAACAGTGAGATATGTCATTCATTTTCTTGATCTGACACCAACATTGACAAGATAGCCGTTCCAGAAATGAAACCATTCCCTGATCTTACACCACTACAGTGAAGGTTTGGTTAGGTATAGACACAAAAAGTAGTTTCCAAAACGCATTAGCTATGCTAAGCTAACCAGCTTCTTCAAAATTCACCAGACAAGCATGCGAGTGGTAACATTCCTCTCTTAGCAAGATTCCTTTAAAGTCAAAACTTTAATATAGGAATAGGAGGGAAGTCCAGAGAGTGAATTTGACACACCATAAGCAGAAGACAGATCAAAAGAACGATGCAATGTGGCATTACAGTTACATCATTTGTAAATGTACATTAGAATTGTTTGTCCATGTGTGAGTGCCCATCCTGTGCCCTCACCACATAATTAAAGCCATTTGACTGCATGTTGGCCCTTCAGCAAGGATAAATCTAACCTAAAAGATCCCCTTTATATAATGCAGTACGTATCTGCAGGCAGGCTGCGTTGCTAAGAGATTGGCCCGGGTTAAAACTCACACCCCATATGGCACAAGAGAAAACGAGGAGGAAGGACGGAACGAGGAGAAGGATGAGCTCTTTGAGTTTTGTCTGTGACTCTTTGTTCGCATCCCAAACTTTAGCAGATGGTTTCAGATCTCGTGGCTCCAACACCTGACTTCATGACTGTTTCTTCTGTTTCTACTGCTTTATTTTTAGCCTGGGGAAATCCAGATTGGAGGGATGTTTGGGTCTCCAAAATAAAGCTAAAAACACATTTTTAAGAGAGTCATCCCATTCCGTATCAGTTTGTCTTTGCATTAATTTGATATTTTATAAATATTATTTTTTATATTTTATATTTGTATTAAAAATCTTGCATTATAGGAATGTTGCCCTGCCTGTCACTGAACACAGCACAGACAACAGCTGTAAACCTGAAGGACCACGCAGTAAATAAGAGCACTCTGGAAGTTTACTCTCAGCGGAATCGCTATTGATCCTAGAAAACAATTCCACTTCCTTTCCCCGTTGCCGAAGAATGCTTCCCAGCAAAAAATAGAGCACCAGGGATGTAAGAATAAAAGACGGGGGGGGGGGGGGGGGGAGATGGAGGAGGAGAGACAGAAGGGAGGGCCGTTGGGGGAATCACTCTTGTGATGCCCCTGCTTTTCTTCTCTTGCCCCTTGAGTGGACTAACAGTTTGGTGTTGGGTCGACACTCAGCTCAGACGCCATCAACGAGAGCCAGATCCTGTTGATATTCACAAGAAGAAGAAGGCTGTCCCAACATCGCACTGAGTCTGTGGCCGTCTGCTCATCTCTGCATCATTACCTGCCATTTGTCCACTGAGTTCAAGGAAGACTTGTCTCATCAGAGGACGGATAGAGAGCCGCTACTTGATCAGAAAAGCAGCCTTCCAGACTACAGCAGAAGAGCAGGTAAGCCATCAAGTTATCACAAAGCTACCACTCTTACTCAGGTGAAAGATGCAGACATTTAGATAAATACTGTGAGCATCCTACTACAAAACTACAGCAGTGGACTCTTAGCGATGAAATCTGCGAGAAAGAGATGGAATGGGAGCCTGGTGTTTGTTAGAGTCCCTGACCTCCACGCAGGTACAGCTGTCGCCTTACTCGCTCTTACTCATTTTCATCTCGCTCTGTCTGTCTCTCTTTCTCTCTCTCTCCATCCTCTCTGCTCATAACTCTCAAGAGAGAAATATATTCAAACAAAGTGCAGCACTGGAGACCTTAAAACATAGGGCCACCAGCAATGTGTGCGTACTTTTTGAACACTTTGAGGAGTTGTTTGTTGTGTTGTCTCAAGAGCAAAAGTTGTTCATTACAAAATTTGTGAGCAAAAATGTTTTAACCAGTAGGCCAAAATGGAAATGAATGCTGGAAAATGGATAAAGAGAACTGAAGGAAAATAAACACAGTGTGTGAAAGCCACACACTGATAAGGTTGTTTTAAATTTTATAAACCAATGATGGAAGAAGTATTTACAATCTTTACTGAAGCAAAAGTATCAATATCACAGTGTCAATGAAAATGTTGAAGTAGTGGAAGTATATTATCAGCAATAAGTACAAAAGTAAAAGTATAGTATGCAGGTAATATGGCCTCGGTCAATGTTGTTTGTATATTATATCACTGGGTTATTATTACCAATGCAACAACGGTTTTGTTAATATCTTAACCTAAAAAGTAACAAGTAACTATAGCTATTAAATAAATATAGTATGGTTAAAAGCACAATATTTCCAACTGATATGCTGTGGAGTACAAGTAAAAAGTACCAAAAACTTAAAATACTCAGATAAAGTGGAAGTACCTCAGAACTGTACAGTGGTTGAGTAAATTAGTTTAAATACTTTCCACTTCTAGCCTTCTTCAGAAAACGGATGTATCGAACTCGACAAATGATTCTAGACAAGATTACAAAAAGTCAATAAAGTGCCACAACTCAAATGAGTTTCCATAACAAATCAAAGACAAAGTAAATTCAGTCTGTGTCTGTGTTTTTTTGTTTCAAACTACATACAGACACATCATCACTGAAACTGAACCAGCTCTGTGACATCAGGGTGAATCCCACCTTGCCGCACAATCATAAAAAATGCTTTATATTTCAGACGAATCAAAAATAACAAGCTAAACAACAGGTAACATTTGAGAAAAGATTCCTCACAACAAAAGATAAAAGATTACAGGCTCACTTATCAAATTATATTGTGTCCATTGCTAATAATTATTTTACATCACCTATTATAAAGATCTAAATAAAAGAAATCTAAATTTAAAAAAATCACAACAAGCCAGGCACTTAATCTGTCACCCCCGAGAAATAGCAGCGATCCAGGAGTTTCAGTCGGGAGAGTGTTAGTCAGAATTTTCCTCCATGAAACACCTTGCAGCTGTCTGGCCTGAGGGCTCCAGTATAATGCCATATGCAGCTAAACAATAGATCATAACAGGGCTGTGGGTCTGTGTACAGTAGTGGGCAGACGAAGAGCCAAACAGCCATGTAAGGTAGCAGGCAGCACATCGGCCCGCCGGATTCTGCTAGTGAGATATATGGCAGGCTGGATCCATGCCGGCCCGAAAGCGGTGACAACAGGTGACTCACATGAATGGGAAGCATTCTCCCCCTCATCCCACATCGGATCCACTATCCCTAACTCACCCCTCCACCACGCCAATACTAAAACATGCCACGCTAAACTTAAACATGCTGATCTTTGATCGTAATCCCAGCACACATGGGAGAGATACGCACACCACCACTGAAGTCCTGCAGCTAAACAGCTGGTGCAATACATACTGGGATCCACCCTTATGGTCAAGTTTAAAAGCTGTGTCATGTTTAAGCTTGAACTTTGTCTAATTCAAAAATATATATTTCCATCAATCACTCCACTATATCCTAAATAACCTCATGAAGCTGCTTCAATCAACTAGAGAGTAAAAATAACAATAACTGAATCCTGGGTATGTTTGGCATCCTGTATGTCGGGTTTGTTGATGTCAGCTGAGACTGATGCAACCTCTGAATAAATGTGTTAGCCCAGAGCAGTTGTGTGGTAGGTCTGATGTTTTTTTCTCTTACTCTGCTGTCGCTGTTCCACTGAAACGTTGCTGAGCTGTCACAACACTGCAAAGTGACCGGCAAAGATATTTTGGTTACAGAGCTCCTGGCAGGGGCTTTTTGTTTGGGGTCATTTAATAAGAGCTGAAATGTAGAGTTTATCTACGTCAGTGACGTTATTTTACTGGGGAGTATCTTTTTCATGAGAGAATTTGGAACAATAAAACATTTATATAGCCAGACAACCACACAACCTGCATACAAGAGAGACAACTGTCAGATAACCAATTAAGTGAGAAATAAAACAAAAAAACTATTTTAAGAGAGATAAAAAAAACTTCAGATAATAAAGTTTTAACATCTAACCAAGGGAAATTGACGAATGTTGCTTGAGGGATGTTTACATTTCATTCCATTTGAAAGGTCCATAATACCTGAAACTATAGGAGGTTTATGCGTACATATGGAATATCTAAGGTTAAGTAGTTCCCGGATCTGAACAACATTTCAATGAGACAATAGAAATAAGGTAGTTTGAAAGCTATAACAGCAGAGAGTATTCGATAAGTAGCATATACCAGTAACACATCATTTTTTTCAGCCATTACTACTGAGTTGGCAAATTCTACGACTTCTTTAGTCTTTTTAGTGCAAATAAACACCTCAGCAGAGATGCAGTAAAATCATAATTAATGGGAGTTTTTATTTTGAAAAACTGAAACAAAAAAAACAACCTCCCAGAGCATTAACAGTGATCAAACTCCCGGCATGAGGGGTCGTATTGCGACATTAGCGGTGTTTAACAAAATACACCTCAACACGAATGTCTCAGGCAATACATTTCTCAAGACTATTCATTTATTGTAATCCACTCACAGCAGAGATAATACAGCCATGAAGTCCAAATACACCATTTGTTTCTTATCTGTAACAAACAATAGGTTTCGTGTGGTTATGAAGTTGTCCTACACCAGAATTTGGCTTTTAGTATCTAACTTCAGGCCCCTCCAGTGTGAGCCTGTGTGGCCACATTTGTCCCTCTAGAATATGTGAAATACTGTTGACATTTTCCTCGGAAATAAATGAGTTTTACTTTCTACTGAAAACAATTTAATTAGTTTGTCAGGGAATGGGTTTGTTAAGCTGGCGTTTTGAGATTGTTTGGGAGATTGCTCGGACACTCATAATAACACTATTGTACCTAATGCACTACGCCGTGTAAATACTTTCCTGCACTGATGTTATTCTAAACATCCCCCATTAAAGGGAAGCTGGCCAAGAAAATGTATGCCCCGCCATCTAATTGTCCGTGTGTTTATGAGGACAGTGCAGAGGAGGCAGTGTATCCTGGTCCTCTGTGAGGATGCAGAGTCTGTCAAACACGGCTTAGTGCTGAAAGGTCACTGATGGACTGTTTGAATCAACCCTGCCCCCTGTTGTTTCTGGCCTGTGGATACACTGCAGGCTGTTGGCAGAGTTCAGTTTTTAAACTCATCAACTCAATTCGAAAAGAGAAATTTCATCATCAGCAGTTTTTTATTCGGAGAATACGTTTTTCTATCCTGAGCGTTAAAAACAACAACCTAGAACAGAGAAATAGTGTCTCTCTCTGCACTCTTATGTTATGACTGAATTAAAAAAAAAAACACTCAATGATTCTGTGAGAGACATAAATCTGAAATCATTGCTCCATGTGCCACCATACAGCAATAAAAACATGGCTTAATGATCCTATAAAACCTCCATTCTGTCCAGGGGGTTTCTCCAGCCTGAGTCGCTGCCAGTCCCGACTGATTCTTGAAGCACAGTCACTGCCCTCTAAGGCAACACTGTGGCTGCTCCAACACACCAGAGGATTTATTGTTGTGTTGCAGGAGGAGAAAAACACACATTATTTATTCCTGTTGCTCCGCGGCAAGTCACAGCAGCAGCCGTCATTTCGCAGTGATGCAGTTTAATAGCTGCTATTTCTCTCTTCTCTGAGCTGCCTGGCTGCTATCCAGACTAGCTGAATAACAGCATGCACGTCTGACTTGAAATTTAAATACACATTTAGTTAGTCCAGTTTACGTTTGAGATGACAATAAAGTGGTTAAGTGACTGTAGTTCTTGGCTAGAGAGTCGACTTTCATGCTCAGTTTGTCATAATATCTCTCGAACACTTTGTTTCCATGGAAATCTTGTAACTCAACAGCATTCTTCCTCTGTGCAGGACAGACAAAGGCACAAGGAGACTCAGATATAATGTCAGACAGAAAATAACTCACAGGTGCATAATACCCCATTTGCGCAGTTCACCGCTTTGAATACCTTATAACCAGAATTTCCATTACTCTGCCACAGCGATTATCAACAAATCTGACAGCCATGATGGTCTACAGGCAAACCAGACCACTCAGCAAAGGGTACAATGTGTTCCAGTAAATCCATGCTTATTGCCAGAGGAACAACAGGACCACAGGTATGATAGACAACCAACAGCAAAAGGTGCTCTTTAAAGAAGAGAAATTGACTGGAACGTCTCGGCTGTAACCTCTCTGCCTCCCACTCCGTTTAATACCTTGTTCCTTTTGTCCTTCGGAAATCATAATGTTTGAGATTGCTTCCTCTGAGGACAGGAAGAAGCAGTCGAGGGAAGGAGACAGAGACTATAAGAATGTAGCCTTACCCGTTGACCTGAGCACCACTTTGTCTACTATATTATCATATATCATATGTAGTATTATAATATTATTGTGTATTCTTTTATGTATGTTTACAGATGACAAACCACAGTACTACCAATGGTGGAGAGTAACTATTTAAATACAGTGTTCAGGTCCTGGTTCCTTATTTTCACTTTATATCACTTGTGACTGTGTTTCTACTTGGTTTACTTCCTCTCAACTAAATGTATTTTGCAGCGGAGGTTATTTGGTTGTAGACATTTTACGTGCAAAGCATCGGCTTCTAAAATATGATTATTTTTTGCAGCATGGCTCAGTCCACAACTCTGGTCCAGGCTAAAATATCTTAACTACTGTTGAATGAATTGCAATGGATTTTTGTATCAGCATTCGTGGTTCCCAGAGGATGAATCCTGCTGACTTTGGTGGTCCCTTTATCAGCTTCACCATAAGGTTGGCATGGTTTTCAAAGAAATGTTTGACTCTTGGATGGATGGGCCATGTCAATTGGTACAGACATTCATGTTCAACTTGGGGTGAATTGTATAACTTCAGTGATCCATTAATTTTTCATCCATGCAAAATGTGTGTGTTTTTCTAGTTTCTAATATTTTGGTTTATGACCAAATACCTTCAAAACGTATGACATTCCCATCAGCCTCGGCTGCACTGCTCAGAGATCATAAGCAAATGTTAGCCCGCTCACACACTAAACTAAGATGATCAACATTGTAGCCTAAACATTATAGCTACCTGTTAAACATTAGCATATTAGCATTGTCAATGTGAGCACGTTAGCATGTTGGGTTAGCTACAGCACCGCTTTGAGCTAAAAATGCTCAAGTAGCCTACATCGCTACGGCGCTCACTAGCATGGCTGAACCCGAAGTCTTGATTTCAGACTAAGATAACCAAACAGGCAGCAACCTCCGGTTTCGAACATGTATGTACAAAGAGAACTGGATACAGTGCTGGAGGCTGGGCTTAGTTCATTACCATGATAATTGCTTTGCAAAACTAGTCAACCTTGATATTTCAACGTTGTTTATCGCCACCCTTTCATGTCACCTCTGGTTATATAAAAAACAAGATGGCGCAGGCCAAAAACCCAGATGGTGACGGCCAAAATGCCGCACTAAAGGGTTCAACTCGAGTCCACACGTCACTTCTTATAGTCTGTGGCCAACTCTACATGCATAAAGTTGACCAGTTACCACATTAAAACTGACATTTTAATGCATCAGTGACGGTAATCCAATACTTTAACAACAAGACACTTTAAAGGGACCCTTGTGCCAAAAGTAGTAAATTCACTGTTGATACGTATACATTTACTTGAGTATATTTTGAGCAAATTACTTGTTATTGTATGTAAAATGTTTACATAGTGATATAGCTGCTAAAAGATCTGAAAATCATTGTAGCACCCCAGTGACAGATCAGTAAACCCTCACCTCTATTCAAGTTTTCACATTTTACCACTCCAGGAATAGATGGCAGATAAACACATTGTAGTAGTAGGTTTGTTGTCTCCCACATAGATCACTTGGATTTTCATTACAGAGTGTCATACGTGATGCCAAGTGAATAGTCATCATGATACAGATTCAAAACCATGTGATAGTATCACAAAGGTTAACTTTAAATTAGTCCAGGGGGAGATGTATTGTTGTTAACAGGGTCTGCATGGGTGAGGAAAGCCTGTTGTCAGTGTTAGCTGATAAGAACATGGCTGTACCTCCTGCTATTGTGCTGGCAGGACTCTCACTCCCTTCCTCCTCCAGCTCTCTGCTTGTTTGTGGTTTACTTCCAGCAAAGATCATCAGCTTCATCCGAGGAGGGCTTCAAGCCAGTTCCCTGAGTGGGACAGGGCTTCACTAACTCACAATCCCACTGGTCTCCAACTGTGACCAGTCAGACCTTAGCGGGAATTAGGTGCATGCTGGAAAGCAAGTGTCAGACGATAAACCTTCCCAAGCTATGTATTGGCCTATCAGCCTTGTGAATGGATAGAGATTAAACATTTCTTCTCCCACATTCTGATGGGGGTGTTTTGTTTCCCGCCTCTCCATGCTTCACAGATAAAGAGCACAATGCTCCGATTTTCCATCTTATTGCCATATATATACTTCATAGAGACACGGAGGGAGGGGGAGACAGACTGAGAGTCATTTAGATCATCTATCTCTCACACATAACTACTGTCAGTGTCAGTGAGGCAAGTCATAGCCCTGCACAGTGCACTATACAATGGGAGGAACTGCTTATGGAAGCAACTGCTTATGGATAACACTTGGAGGGAGTTGAGAGGTGGTAAGAGAGAATATTTAAATCTGTGTTTGGCTTTTTTCACACACTGTGATTGTAGGGATTATACTGTATATCCAACATGGCACACCATTAAAATAACAGTTTGTCTTAACACAGCTTTTGAGGAATGTTTACTATGTTTTCTCTAATCTTGCCAAGGAAGGGCAGTAGCTTCAGATGTGTGACGTTTTGGAAAAACCCGTCAAACTGTTACCTTCAGCCGTCGTAACAGTGTGTTATAATGAATCTGGCTTTGATCTCTAATTGCTAAAGTAAGAGTTGACAGCAGGCAAAGGCACATAATGCATTTAGATGTCAGAGGTCCCTCTTCAATGGAGTTTGATGGGTTTTCTTAACCCCTTAATGATGGGGGTCAGTTACTGCACTCATAAAGCTGTCTGGTCTACTGCCTTATAGGGTAATTCTTGGCTGAGGCTCGCCAGCCTGTCACTGCCATGTTTGGGTCTTACCCAAACTCCCACTAATGCTGCAGGTGAAAGCGCACACACACACACATTGGAAAGATGGAGAGATCTGATCGACGCTCTCAGATAAATCCAGAAAGCAGCGCGTAGGAGGTTTTCATTATCGCAGAGAGGACAGTGGACATTAAAGCCGCTGTCGTTGTGAGTGAAGTCTGCTGCTCATGGGCCACAGGCAAGATAGAGACCGTGCGGCTCAGGCCGGGTCACAGCATTGAAAGGACAAAGTCTCCTAGCTTTGACTTGCCCTGTGGTGGCCTGTTACGCTCTCTGTCTGTCTGTCATACATAATTTGGAAAAGGACACGGGGAATGTAAACCCACACATAATATATTTATTCAGTCATTTTTCTTAAACAACCGCATTATTTACTTTTAAATGACTCCTGAACTTCCTCTGCCCCCTTCTCTCTCTAGCTCATGGGAAAATGGTTGTTCTCATGCCACGGTATCCAGTACTCAAGCAATTCACAGGCAGAGAAGCTATTTTTATGATGCCCCACAAACACTCAAAGTAATTTCATCTGCAGCAACATAGAGGACCTATCTGTCTATGACTGATATTCTCCTTTCTCCTTTTTTACCCTCCTCTCTGCTCAGCTCATCCTCCGACTCTCCCCCTCAGTGACTTCACCTTTTCACCTCTAGTGCACCCTCTTCTCGCACTTTCTCTCCTCCCGCTCCAGTCTTTGTGTCTCAGGTGCGTGTTCGGCCTGTGAGCAGTGATGGGGGACTGGAGTCTCCTGGGGAATTTCCTAGAGGAGGTCCAGGAACACTCTACCTCGGTCGGGAAGGTCTGGCTCACCGTCCTCTTCATCTTCCGCATCCTGGTGCTGGGTACGGCAGCCGAGTCATCCTGGGGTGACGAGCAGAGCGATTTCCTATGCGACACTAAGCAGCCCGGTTGCACCAACGTGTGCTATGACAACGCCTTCCCCATCGCTCACATCCGCTACTGGGTGCTGCAGATTGTTTTTGTCTCCACACCGTCCCTCATCTACATGGGCCACGCCATGCACATTGTGCGCAGGGAGGAGAAGCTGCGGAGGTTGGAGCAGGACCAGAAGGAGGAGAGAGGGGAGGGCGGAGGAGACCTGGAGGGGGAGAAGGAATACCTTCAGCAGAAGGTGAGCGGAAGAATGGCATCTGATGGGACTGGCCGCATTCGCCTGAGAGGAGCGCTGCTGCAGACTTACATCCTGAGCATCATGATCCGCACGGTGATGGAGGTGACATTTATCGTGGTGCAGTACATGATCTATGGGGTGTTCCTCAGGGCAATGTACCTTTGCAAGGCTTGGCCCTGCCCCAACCCCGTCAACTGCTACATGTCCCGGCCCACAGAGAAGAACGTCTTCATCATCTTCATGCTGGTGGTGGCCAGTGTGTCTCTGCTGCTCTCTGCGCTGGAGCTCTACCACCTTAGCTGGAAGAGCGCCAGGAGGTGTTTACACAACAGGAGGATGCAGAAGAGCAACCACAGAACTCTGACGGTGGCCGTGTCCGCGGCCTTGGAGCCCAACAGCCCACCTCGGCCCTCGGTCTCCTGCACCCCGCCTCCAGACTTCAGCCAGTGCCTGGCAGCTCCAAGCTCCATGAACCCCATGGCCTCTATGGCATCTCATCCCTTCAACAACAGGATGGCGCTGCAGCAGAACTCGGTCAACTTGGCCACAGAGCGCCATCACAGCTGCAACAACCTAGAGGATGAGGAAGACTTCACGAGGATGAGATACGACCAAGTGCCCACAGAGCTGCCCAACAGCTGCTCCCCATTGCCGCTGCTGCACTCCAGCTACAATAAAGACAAACGCCGCCTGAGCAAGACCAGTGGTACCAGCAGCCGGGCTCGCCAGGATGACCTGGCAGTATAGACACACAAGCAAAGAGAAGGGACAGAAAGATGAGTTTAGAAAGACCCAAAGAGGAGTCTGAGTGTTATTACTGAGTGAAGGGGTCAAAGCGTGAGGCTAATTATGCAAACTCTGGCATTGAAGCCAAACACTTGATCATAGAGGATGGACTAAATGTTCCCTTTAGAAAGAGACAGTGAGATCTGTAAGTGGACTATGTGAACTTGACATGTGTGAGCTCTGTCAGCAGATAGTGTTTGTGAACCAATCTGTCCCAGAGCTCGAAAAAACAAACTGCAAAAGAAAAATATTTTCTAAATGTGAAGAGGGTAACAGGTGTGATACCTGACTATTGCACATTTATGTTTTAGTAAAACAGTTAAAGCCAAAAACCAAGTGAGATTTTAAAAAAAAAGACATGTAAGTGAAAATGACGTGATGCTTGGTGTGAGATGACAAACCATTTCTTTAGAAAGCAAAATACGGCTCAAATCTCAACTATTCAATGAATTACAATAGCTTTGTTCTGCCACTGCAAAGAAAAATGAGAGATGAGAGATTTAGAGGAAATAGGGATTTAATATGCAATAAACTGTGAAGCTTGCCGGTATATGAATTCGATGTTTTTATGCAGCGCATATGCAGTGAATCAAGGTAAAGTGCCTTAACAAGTGTGAAAATAAATCTCTTTACTATGATGTGTTTTTTATACAGATTTTTCAAAAAACCATTGCAAAGACTGTAAATTTAGATTAAGCCATGTGTTGACTTCCTAAACTGATTGCACGACACAGATCAGCAAACATCAAATGTATCTCAAGAATAGTCACTGTACAATCTAAAAAAGAGGTGTGAGTAAAACTGTATTCGTTAGTTATATATTTGACAGGAGTCTTGTGTGCAGAATGTAACCCGTTTTAGGACGTTCCTTATCCAGAGGGATTGAAGAGAAAAGAAAAAGAAGAGGTCCTGCTTGGATGCTGTTATGAGGAGACCCGGCCACTGGGTGGCAGCATTGCACTTGTGCTTTTTAGTTTCTGTCCTGGAGCCATTGTTGTAAATAGTGAATTTGTCTCTATGCAATGTATGTTTCAGTTGATATCTTTGAATGTATGTTATTTCATTTCCGGTGTCTTGCAGAATCATTGTACAGGTTGTTTATGTTTATCTTACACAGCAAACATTCTTATAAAAACACAGGAATCTTTTTTTGTTTGTTTTTTGGTTCTTTCACACAGACTTGTATGCAATAAATGTCATCACTCACTCATCACAAATAAATAAATCATCAACTGTACATTCTGCTCTGTTGTCTTCAAGGTGTGTGATTAATGCAAGTACTTATTTGATCTTTATGAAACATCAGATGTGTGTTACTGATATATTAAACGCACACTGAATAACTCTGAGCTCAGAAAATCTTGTGGTTGATACAGAAATGCTATGAACTAAATGATAAGTGGAATTAAACAAGATGATGTTGAACAGCAAACATATATGAAGGGTTTCCTGCATTTTTAGATCAGTATCCTATCACCACTTGCATTCTCCAGTCTGTTGTCACCAGAAAGGACCTGCAGGGGACAGACTGCAGGGGATGTGCAGTATTTACACAAACAAAGACTGTCTCGCCATCACTGCCAGGAAGCTGAGCCCTAATATCCAACTTGGTCTGTCACAAGCTGAGTCGAAAGCAAAGCTACAGTAGATTCTGCCATTTTATTTGTTTGTTGCCGATCAGATTCACCTCTGCAAAGTTACCCGGATCTTATTATCATTGAATAAGATCATGCTATAAAGAGCTTATATTTTAGAGCAGCAGCCAGAGTGATGAATTCACACTGCTGTCCAATAAAATCTTCTCTCTTTTAAATCACCCATGGGCAAAGCTGAGGCGATGTTTTTTATGATCTGATAGAGGTATTTGCTGGAGCCAAATATATTCAGTACAACTATTATCTCAGGATTGAGGCTGGTCGTCCACTGGTCGGAAGGTTGGTGGTTAAATCCCCGGCCCCTGTGGTATACATGTCAACGTGTACTTGGGCAGGAGATCCCAAATTGTTGTGAGTGTGCATGTGAATGTATTACACAGGGATAAACAGGCAGCATGCAGTCCATTTAACACCCCATAGGTTTGGTTTTCCAAAAGACTAACGATACAACAATAAACCCAATAGTACAATAATATTCAGCGCTAACGCACATTTTGTCACTTCTATAAATAATTTCAATATCCCTTCTCTGGGGATGAATGTTAGGTGAAAATATTTGCCACATGGCTTTTAAATTAGAAGAATCTACATTTAAGATGGAAGATTCAGGAGTGGAAGAAGTGATCATTACTTCATGAAAAGTAAATTTCACTTGAGTATAAGCGATGAAATCTCGTCTCTGAGTTTTATATTAGGCCTATTACAGATATGGGTGAACCATGATGCATTGACCTGTAGCAGCTATTTCTTACTATTTTATATACTGAGTATGTAAATGTATGGGTGACATGTATCATATACGTATGATATGTATTGGACATTTTAATCTGTAACATAACTAGTAAATGTGGCTGTCAAAATCATGGTGTGGAGTAAAAACTACAATATTTCATTGTTGAATGTAGTGGAGTAAAAGTATAAATAAAAAAACACAAGGGAGGATAAAACAGTTTTATATTGTCTGGTTCTTATCTTCATAATGAAAATATTCTTTGTCTTTGTTTGGGATTAGAAACTTTCACGCGCAATCAAATGGCGTGCAGACACACCTGTAGATGGCGGTAGCGCGCTTTGATGCATCTTTTCTACCTTTTTACAAAAGAAGAAGAAGAAAGATCCCATTGTGGATACTGGGAAATGTAGTTCTGTCCACATAGCTATCACCTTCACTTTCAACGTCCACCGGCATTTGCCACCCTACAGTTCCCGACATGTCATTGACTTGAAGCGGTGGGAAGAGTTGCTTCATGTCAAGATAATCTGTTATTTACCGAGTGTTTTATTCACCATCGAGAGGAGCAAAAGATCTTCGTTTCATAAAGTAAGTAGCTAGCTGTTAGCTTAGTTGTCTAAATCACAATAGTGGGCTTCGTTGTCATGGTGCAGTTAGCTGGAGTGTGGAGAGGTCAGACCTCATGTTGTCACGCTGTGGTGAAACTAGCTAGCCGTGCGTGGAAACGTGTTTTCTTCACGTGCTTCTAGCAGCAACGGGGTTCGTATTGAAACGAGTAAAGCAATGTTTGATGGGCAGCAAGAGTCAGTGTGAATAATACAATTATTCTAGTAACTTCCTCCTTTTGTAAGGAAGTTACGTAACATCCGCTGTAAGTACTCAATGTGTGTGTGTGTGTGTGTGTGTGTTTGTGTTATATATACACACACACACACACACACACACACACGCGATAACATAACTTTTGTAGATAGTAAGACAATAGTGTTAACTTGAGCAGTAATGTAAATACGAATGGTTAATGCAACAGGTTGAAAATACATGAGGTAGGTGGATATGACATTGTATTTGATGTTTACATGTTAAAAAACAGTGTGTATTGGTATACAGCAAAGTTAGTTCTACATATTATATATACTGTGTGAAGTGCCTTCAAGTGTTAATTTTAAAAATAAATGATATTTCTTATCCACAATTATCTTCATTATAATTGTAGGCATCTGTATTTCTCCTAAATTCACCAAAAGTTGGTATTAGATAATGCCTCATTTGCATATTTAAACATACAATTTGAGAAAACTTGTATTGCAAAAAGTAAGTGTCTTAATGTAAGTATTTATCTGGGGAGGTTTTACGGTGATGTGAATTATTTATCCTATTCAACATCCTATTCATTCATTTCAAGAAAACACTGTTTTCTTGAAATTAGTTTTTTTTAATACTATAAGCAGGAAATGTCCTCGTCAGAAGCACTGACATACACCAAACTTTACACTTTCATTCTTGTCTATATTCTGAAGGTTTTTACAGAGGGATTTGTTTATATATATTATTAATAGCTTGATTTATACAACATTTTAATACTTAAAACATGGTGAAAAACAAGTGTAAACCTTTTTTAATGCAGCATATATATAGTAGATAAACGTAGAATGGAATTGAATAGATCAGCTTCATAGTCACCGAAACACCGGTCCAGCTATATGAGTCAGTATCAGCCCGATATTGGTATCAGTGTATCCTTAAGTTTAATAAAACACACAGGAGTATACATATGATAAACTGCTCTAGCGGGTATTTGCATCAGCATACTGTAGGTAAGAAAGCGACACCGGGGAAGGAGGACAAATCAGCTTTGGTTCCCCCAGATAAAGTGAGCTTAGGGAATGAAACTAGTTCTACAAATCTGAGGACACGGTCAGAGTTTTCTCAGCAAGGAATGTAACAGATTGTTCCTAACGCTGGATGTTCGTTGTGCAGGGTTAATGCACGGGTTGACGTTACTGTCATTATAGAAGTCCTTCTTAATCTTCCTCTGAATATTAACCGTGATGCGTGTGTAGTTAATTCAGACCCTCGTACAATATGTCTGTTTGTTTCACAGCTCGGCCATGAGGAATCTTTGGACCAAAGCAGGTGTTTTCGGTTCAGTGTCGGTGGCTTTCGGTTCAATGCTGTGGTCACAGAAGCAAGCTGAGTCGGACCAGGTGGCTTCCAGTTGCACCTCCGCTGATACAAATCCTAGTTCTCCCTACGAACTCAAATTGGTCCAAGTGCTGTTCCGACATGGTGCTCGAACGCCGCTAAAGTCAATACCTGGTGTTATGGAGGTAGAACTCTTTTTCTGTGTTTCCTCGACTCGTTAAGTGCCCGTGTACATAAAAAAAAATGATCTCTGTATAACAAGTCTTTGTTGGGTCCAGGTCCAGTGGGTGCCGAAACTCTTGGAGCCTCCGGCACACACCCACATCAACTATGAAGTGACAGATCTTCACGGGGGCCCGAGACCCCCGGCTCCTGTAGAAGACAGCTATCGTCAAAACGTCCTGAAGGTAGGTGTGCTTTGTGGCGATCGAATGTGGTCAGATAAGAACAGAGCGGAAGGAACAAATTCAGGTGCGGCAACTTGTTCAGTTGGTTCTCGGTTAGAGGCTTTGTGTGAGGATACTTTAGAGGAGGAGCAGACATTTAAACATGTAGTAACTGGAACAGCGCCTCTGACATTGAGCAATCTGGCATAGTTGAACCTTTACTGGGCTTTTTCTGCTTTGCCAAGTTTATACGTGCTGTGGTAAAGGCCTGGTGTTTAATGTTATTTGATCTCTGTATATTTAGAAGTTCTTTTGCTTCATAGATGTGAAGCTCCTTGTGGATTCAGAAAGCTCCCCCCCCTCTAGTGGAAATGACGTGAAAGCAGCTTCATTCATTCAACAGCTCTCTGTAACGCTGCTGAACTGTGTGTAGAGCTTCCCAGTGAGATGTGTTTGCCAGCCTCTGTCCGTAGAGATGAGAGTTTCCTGCGCTGAGTTAGCTGCTTCGCTAAAGAGGTTTACTGCGCTGGATTTAGCTTAGAAAACCAAATCCCCACAATATGGTCTCCCGCCATCCTCGTACCACATTCACTCTGGATTCCTGCGTGTGTGTGTGTGTTTGTTAGGCCACATGTGTGAGTATAACCGGATCCTGTTTTGTCGCCATTGGCAGGGTGGCACGTTCCCCGGTCAGCTGACCACATTGGGCATGCAGCAGCTGTATGAGCTGGGCGAGAAGCTACGGAGGAGATACGTTGAGGAGACCCATTTCCTCAGCTCCACCTTTAGCCCAGCTGAGGTCTAGTAAGTGTTGGATAGCAAGAGCCACTTGCACTTTTCCTGCACACGACAGTTTTGATACATTGTGATAAATAAGCCCAGTACAAAGGATATCAGCCTAAATGCTTTACTTTTTTCCATTTTTAGTGTGCGCTCCACAAACATCTTGAGGACCATTGAATCTGCCAAGTGCCTGGTAGCCGGGCTCTTCCTGCAAAAACAAACAGGTAGTTTAGAAAGCCACATGTGCACGATGTTGTTGTTCCTTTCTGGATCTCATCGAATCTGTTTTTTTTGTAATCTTCTGTTCTATTTAAAGAAATTGTCCCCATATTAACAATGGAGGCAGCATCTGAAACCCTGTATCCTAACTACCGGGGATGCAAGCTGCTCAAAATTCTTGCCAGGTATGTAAAGTACATTTTCATAGCAGGCCTCACAGTCTCCTTTGCACTCGCTACCCCCCCCCCAAAAAAAAAACTGGAATCCAGAGTTGCGATGCCTCTGACAGGTTGTCACGGTGTGTCTTGTGTTTCGTGGCTGACGCTGTGTGTGTGTTCTGTGCAGCCACCGCTGGGCAGAGTCGTCCACTCTGCCAGACATTGCAGCAGACCTGCGGAGCATCTACAGCGCGCTGGGCATCGCCGCTCACCAGCACATCGACTTCATCCTCATTAGGGACGACATGGTCGCCAGAGAGGTGACACCGCCGCATCATGATTCCTGTGACTTTTATTAGGTCTCACCACACGCTATCAGAACAACGTAGGATTATTCTGAGGACCTGGCAAAGCTGCTAGTTGTGCAAAATAAAAAACTCCACGACCGAGTTCATCAAGTTTCTAGACATTCTAGCAAGCTAAAAATAACAGATGCAGCGTGATCTGAATTTGCTGATTGTTTCCCCCAAATACTGTTTAAACCAAATACTACAGCCCTACCCTAAAAGCTACTACTACTTTACTCTCACGGCTCTATACTGACACCTTCTATACTGTAAGTTGCCCACAATAGACACCATTTTGGAAAATAACTATGATGACGGGCAAACCTGTCGAAAATATCTCATAACCAAGATGGTGGCCCCTGTAAAAAAAAAAAAAAAAGTTCAGCCGTGTTGGTTTTCCTTATGAGGCTTGTGTTGCTCAGTGACACTGACTGTGTCAAGTCTCTGCACATTAACAGGCGCACGGCCTGGCCTGCCCATCAGAGCTGGACAGCTGGAGGAACACAGTGGAGCAGAGAGCTGTGGACATGATCTGCCACGTGTATGGACACAACAGCAGGTTAGATCAAACAGAGGAGGGGCTTTTTTTATTTGTATGTAGACCATTTGTTATAAGTTTAATTATTCTGCTCTGTTTTTAGCACGGAGAACTTGCAGCTGTGTGTGGGACCCCTGCTGCACTCATTCTTAACCAACATTGAGAAGAAACTTGAGGGCACCTTACCAGAGCCAGACAGGTGGGACCCCTCTGGATGGACTCACCCAGTATTATTATTTTTGCACAAACTTCATTGTGTCTGGTCTTTTAAATTCTCCACTGATAATATTCTGTCTCCATCAGGAAGCTATTTCTGTACTCCGCACATGATACCACTTTGATCCCCTGTTTGATGGCTCTGGGCATCTTTGACATGAGATGGCCACCATTTGCCGCCGATATCACTATGGAGCTGCACCAACACCAAGAGACCAAGAAGCCCTTCGTTAAAGTGTCCTACATAGGCCAGGTAGGGGATGACAATGTGTCTGTTCATTTGAGACGCTTTTGCATATTTATTTTTGTGTTTTACTTTGAGTTGGTTATCTCTTCCTAGGATCAACTCATACCGGGTTGTAGTGGAGTCTACTGCCCCCTGGAGGAGTTCAAGCAGGTCCTCTCAGCGTACTCCCTGAGCGCTGAAGCCTACCACTCACTTTGTAACAGCACAGAGGGCCTGACCGAACCCTGAGCCATTAACTCACGTCTCACCGCAGTGCTATCCGTGACATTACACGCTGACAGTAACCACACATCATGTTTCTGTTTCTTCTACATCCTCCTCTCTCACGCCATCCAGCCACCGTCACCAGGGAAAGCTTTCTTGAGTGTACAAATCCTGGATTACAGCATCAGTTTACATCACACTCTTATTTCATAGTTCCTCATCTTCATGTAAGCAAGGCAGTAAAATGTTCCATTTAGGTAGATGGATTTAATGGTTATGGCTTATTGACAAGTATAAGCGCAGAATAGTTTAGCCATACAGTGTTCACGTGATATCAGATGCTTAGGGCATATCTGTGTCTGTTTGTATGCAATTAACCTGTGTGGATGGATGATGAAGGCTCCATGTTTTTCTTATGGTCAACGAAACCTCTGGCCCTGTTTCTAAACTTTAGCAGATGACAAATACATTTATTTGCGGAGATACTTGTTTTAGGATAATGTGGCAACAATGCCGTAATCTGACTACTGATGCAATTGTTCACAATCAAATCTTTCACATTCAATCATTTCATTCGTCAAGAGACACTGATCAGTCCATGCACTGGATCTAATGTTCGGGGATTGAACATTAGCATGGAGGTGAATGTCATAACAATGTAGAATCTGCAGAAATGTGATAATTCTGCTATGGTATGTGTTAAGATTGAAACTTTAGGTTGCCTTCTTGTGGGGATTTGTTGGCACCATCAGACCACAGTATAATGTATACATGAATACCTGCCCATTATATAGACCTGTGTTACAATAACACACATTGTACCTCATCAGCGGGATTGTCCCGTGAGCTGCTGTTTAAAACACAGGTTTACATTGGTGACTCATAAAGATTTCAAATCAATATTAAGTCTCTTATTTTTTGTGGGGGGGGGGGCTTACATCACGTGTACTATTCCTACCAGCTAAGTAAAACTTTAATACAGGGATTACTAAAGCACAACTAGTGTAGTAGAGTTCAAATGCATCAACGTGCTTGCACCTATTTTGGAAGTGTGGTGTCCTCCGAAAGCAGCTCTCGCTAAATACCTCGTGATGAAATGTCGACTTGGCAATGCTGCTGCTCTGTATGACTTGCTCTCCTTGTTCGAGCTCAGTTTTTGGTAAACTGGTTTGACGTGTAGAATGAAAGACACCACCTGATCCACATGACTGACAAGACATGAATAATCAAGAGCCATGTGGACCCGTACATGCGCACACGCACACACACACACACTCCATAGACAACATGTATGTACCAAAACAATATCTTTTATTTGTAGTCCATCACCACAGCCCTGGGAGGCTATTCTGCACCAAAGCCAATGGAGAAACACATGACAAGCTTATACAATAGAGAAAAGAGAGGAAGTCAGCTGGATGGTTTAGCAGTACGTGTTTACATTTCCGCGTGTCTCCCTCTGGACACCACACCTGCCTTTCTAAAAATTGTACCAGATCTACCTAACTAGTTCTATGATACCTGGCATACCTGCTGTGGCATGCAGCCACTCCTGTCCCATTCTGCTGACCATTGGGGGGGATTATTGCTGTGGGAATGATTATTACCCAGAGTCAACAAGAGAGTCAAAAGCAAAAAACGGGAACAAGAAGAACACACAAAGCACATCTGGGTATTAGCGGTATTATTCACGCTGGCCAACGTTGAGTCCTGAAAGTTTTGGAGCACCGAGTCCAATGTTCATCTGGACCGGGGTTTATCGTTGTGCTGCAAAGCTGCCAGGACCCTCACTGTGTTGCTCTCAATGGTAGAAAGAAGACGCTTTCTGCAGACGGTCCATGTTTGTGCTTTTTTAATAATACTATTATCTTAATGAGGTCATAGTTTGGTTTGTTATACACTGGAGTTACAAAGGAAATTAAAATAGACTAAAATTCGAATAGCCCACCAATGGTAAACAGTACAGTATTTTTAGGGGGCGTTCCTCCCCTAATGAAAGTTGGGTAGGAGGAGTTGAGAGGTCACTGATAGAATGCCTATACATACAGACACATACATACCACACAAACATACAGTCTGTCAAGCACACGCACACACTCTCACGTATATACTGTACAGAAACAGTCAAAACAATGGAGCGAGAGACAAGATGGAGTTCCACTAAAGTCTTCACAAAGCACAAATTCTTCTTATTCCTTTCTCTTGTTCCATACCACTTTCATGACAAATTTGTTTTCGTTTTTTTTGAAAAAAGTAGACATATACTGTAGCATCTCCACGCTGACTTTGAGTTAGGTTGATTCCTCTTTGATGTTGAAAGTCATCTTTATAGTCAGATAATCAAAAAAACACAAGAACAGTTTTTGCGAAATTGATGCACAACAATCCCATACATTCTGAAGTTCATGAGTCAAAATCAAATGTTCTTGTGGCAAAAGTACTCCAATCTGGGCCTGTCCCGAGTCTCCATTGGAATAGTTCCCACAGGACATTACTCGGTGACTGGTTAGCTCCGTTCTGTTCGTTTCTGGGTACATCCTCTCTCCTGTATTATACTTCCTTTACTCGAGATCATCAGAGTTTTCTGAACACACCGTCACCTTTATTCCATCCTTGTGTATTGTCCAAGAACATTCTACATACAAGGTTTCTGTAGGATCAGAACATTCCAGGGCCCGGACTGAACCCCATGTCCATGTCACGTGGCCTCATCTGACCCCCCATCATCATTGTCTGCTGTGGAGGGCCGCCCATGCCCTGCAGTGACATCATCATGTTAGGTGAGCCACCGGGGCCTGGGTGGGCCATTTGTCTCCCCTGCATCATCCCTCCTGGACCCCCAGGAGACATCATCCGGTGCTGGGGGCCCATCATGCCTTGGCCCATGAATCCTGGGGGCCGCATCGGGTTGTGGCCAGGGTTGCCCATTGGCATGTCTTGGGGGCCCATTCCCCCGCCGGGCCCCCCTGGCATCCCCCCCATCCCCTGCATGGACATCCCCATCCTCGGTGGACCATCGCTCATCATGCCCTGCATGGGGAAGCCGGAGGGGTGTGGTGGTTTCTGTCCAGGGTGTCCGGGGTGTCCAGGGTGTCCAGGGTGTCCGGGGTGCCCGGGGTGCCCAGGATGTCCAGGGTGCCCAGGGTGTCCAGGGTTGTCTCCCCCACCTCGGGGGAAGTAAGACAGAGTCTGACTGGGCTTTTCTGACGGGATTATCCTGGACAGGTCAAATTCGGGAATGCCAGATGCTCCCGGCCGCATCACCTCATGAAGGTCCGCATCACTGAATCCACCTTGCATGTTGTTGAACTCCGGCCCTCCGGGGTTATTGGGCTTGCACATGCCCCCATCAACCCCTCCTCCGTGAGGCATGTTCCCCATCCGTCCTCCCATAGGCCCTTCTCCCTGGAAGCCCATGGGATGGCCAGGGAAACCTTGGGGACCAGGACCGTTGTGCGGGGAGAAAGGGCCCTGCTGGGAAGGGGACTGGGTGAGGGGGTATCCCTGGCCTCTGTGAGGGTAACCCATGCGTCCCTGGGACATCATTTGGGGGTTTCCCATACCAGGGTCCTGGGGGTTTGGTGGTATCATCATACCATGAGGCATCATGCCTGGGCCCATATTAGGAGCATTGGGAGAGGGCATCTGTGGGGGCATGCCATGGGAGAGGGGCTGGGACGCCATTGGATTCATGCCCAGAGGGCTGAGGGCAGACATGGGTCCAGCATTTCCAGGTCCCATCATACGTGGGTTGACTTGGTGATTCATTGCCATACCTGCAAATGCACGACAAAAATAAGTGATTATGTATTCTACACATGCACTAAGGTGGGTGCAATTGAAAGTTAAAATCCAACAACAAAGAAAAAGACATTTCAGATGTTTTACCGTTATTGTTTACTGAAGGCAGGTTCGGGGAGCGAGCTGGGGGCGAGTCGTCGTCAGAGCTAGCGACAGTCTTTATGGCATCATGGTAGAGTGGGGTGGAGCTGGGCATTGCAAACTTGGACATGCGTGACATCATGATGGAGAGAGGGTTCTGGGATAGAGTTGGCTCAGGGGGGATGGCGTACGGACTGCCAGACTGAACGTTGCCTGGTAGGGACATGGGGCCAGATGGAGCCCCTGATGAAGGCGGGGCTGAGGGAGGGCCGTTACCACCTAGAGGAGAGCATGGTGAGAAAGAAAAGACATGACAGAGATGATCAATCTTAGCAGTGCAGGCTTGAGATTGTTTTTTATCAGTAATGATAACGTAGCAATAGTATTTGCTCCTTCAGGCTCAGTGAGATTTAATTCTGTGGCCACAAGAGGGAGCCACTGGACCATAACCCACCCAACCCCACCCCTCATACAGATGTGGTGACTTAAAGAGATGCACTTAATAAATGGCCTCCACATCTCTTTATTTGCATTTTCAGTATTGTAGACTAATTCTGACAGATATTCTCCATAATAAAAATAAACTCCAAACCATTTACAGAAGACATCCCAATATTAACTGTATTCAATTTAATAAAGATGCACTGAAAAGAGATGGGGAATAAAATCTATATTAACGATGAAGTAAGAAGAAGAAACAGGTGCTGCTTAACAGGAAATGGATGAAAGAGACTCGTACCTTGCTCCATGGCACCCATCATGTTTGGTGAGGTGATACTGAGGGGAGGTTTGCCACCTTGAGGTGGTACTCCGGGACTCTGCATGGGTGGCTTTGGTGAGGATGCCCATCCTGGAGAGGGGTTTGGAAGAGAAGGAGACCTCATGTGAACAGGAGAGGCACCAGCTGATCCCATCATGGAGTGGGGGGATTTCATTGGTGCTGAAGCTGGGGGAGGTGGAGGGGCACTGGGGCCTGTGGGACCACTGAGCATGCCAGCCAGCTGGGACGGCGTCTGAGGGGATTTAAGGTTTCCAGAGGGAGAGCCCATCATGGGGGACTGCACTTGCCTCAGAGGAGGGGACTTAAGTGGGTTGATACTGGGAGAGTTTCCCCCTCCTGCTTGGACATTCAGATCGGCTGGCTTGCGGCCCCTCTGAATTTGTGAAGGACCACCGGCAGGGGGGAGGTGGTTAATACGGCCATTGCCTCCTGTTGGTGTAGATCTGTGCTCTGGACCAAAGGCTTGGTCTACATGCGGACCCCTCATTCCTCCCGGACCCCCTGGGAAGGGCCGCCCAGGCCCCATAGGAAAGTCTCCTGGTTGTGACTGCTCAGGGAAGGGTGGACCCTGCATGGGCCGGCCTTGTGGACCCATGTTCTCCATTGGAGGTCCTCCACCTCCTCTCATTCTCATGATCTCCTCGGGACTCATATTCATGGAGGGATCTCGTAGCTTGGCAGGGTGCATATGAGGTCCTGGCCCAGGGCCAGGCCCCATGCCAAACTCGGGTCCCATTTCCCTTCCCCCCATCCCCTGGAGCCTAGAAGACGGACTCATAGGACCATCCCCGGGCATTCTGGGAAACATGCCCATGCCATTACCAGGTTCCATTCCACCTCTTTGGTGCCCCATCATCCTTTGCATGTCCATCATCATCCCTGGAGGGATGCCCTTCTCTCCACCCATACCTTGGTGGAACATTGCTTCTTGGACTGACTGAGGATTTGGAAAACGCTCACCACGACCCCCTGGACCAGCAAACATCCCCCCAGGTCCTCCGGGGAAGCCTCGTGCATCTCCCATACGGGGAGGCATGTCGTCAGGCCAGCCCATTCCGGGCCTTGGGGGCCCCTCCATCTCAGGATTCATCATACCAGAGAAGCCAGGCATTCTCTGCATATGTGGGGGCATACCCCTGGGGCCGGGGCCGGGGCCGGGTCCGGGGCCCATGGCCATGCGCTCCTGGTAGTGCTCTGGTGGACCACCTGGTCCTCCCCACATCTCTCCTGGGCCCATCTGGTAGGGAGGCGGGGGGCCTCGCATCATGCCGCGTGGACCGTGGGGGTGCATCATCATGTCTGGAGGAAGTGGCCGGTGCTGCATTTCTTGTTTCTTCCTCTTCTCTTCATAAAATTCCTGCTGTAGCTTCAACCAAGCCACCTGTTCTGGAGTCATCTGATCTCCATCTCCACAGCCCCCTGGACCCCCCATGTGTGCACCCATTTCATCTTGTGGAAATGGGGGCATGTCCCTGGGGCCGTGGGGGGGACCATGCGGTGGACCATGGGGTGGGCCAAAGGGTGGACCTTGTGGGCGAGGTCCTCCTGGCCCACCTGGTGGTCCGAGACTCTGAGACTGTGCCATCATGGCCTGTAAGGGGCCCTGCTCAGACCTTCGGGGTGCACCATCAGGGCCTCCATCGTGGGGTCCACCGTGGGACTGTGGGGGCCCAGCTTGTGGGGCATCACGGTCATCAGGGAAAAGCATGCGCTGAATATCTCGCAAGGTCTGTAGGGAGCGCTGGCGATGCTCCAACTGTTCTTGGGACAGACCCTCTGTGTTGGCCTCCATGTTCAACAGCTCCTGGGCCAGCTGCTGCTGCTGTTGCTGCTGCTGGGGTGTCAAACCCGCTCCACCAGAGCCTCCACCCTGCCCTCCCTCAACTGCTGTTGGAGGGTTGAGGCCTGCCTCAGGTTGGGTGACAGGGGCCTGGTCAACTGCAGCAATAGCGTTGCTGGGGCTACTGCCGGGAAGATTTTTGGATTCCATGCCTGCAGAGGACGACCCTTCCTGCGGAAGAACACCAGATTGGCTCCCTTGGTTTGAAGGCTGGGGTGTGGTCGGCTCTGCCATGCCCGGTAAGGACGGCTTGGATCCAGGCTGGTGGCTCTGATCTTGAGCATGGGACGGGGGCTGCTGGGGAGGCTTGGAGTCATTTCGAAGGGCGCTTGCTGCATTATTCTTTAGCAGAAAGTGACAGAAAAAGGATTAAGTTATAGACACTCTCATGCGAGATGTTGGTGTATAAAAGTGCATACATGTGCGTTAAAAAGAGTCTTTACCAGGAGGAGGTGAGCTTTGTCCTTGCTGCTGGAGATGTTTTTCATGTGGAAGGCAATGATGTTTTCTGTATGGCCAGTTAGAACCGCATCAGCTGCCCTGTGGACGAGAAGGCAGACAGTCAGACATCCGTCATCAGACACAATACGTTTGTGTGTGTACGGGTCCATTTGAAGTGAGCTCGATGAATGAGTACTAACTGAGCATCCACATCTTTGATCTCCAATTCCCAACAGAGTGTTAATCTAAGTGTACGCTCCCACTGAGAAACACACATGCTTGTGCAGATACACACAATGGATTTAGGTATGACTGGGAACGTTGGAGGAAGGAAGAGAAGTGGTGGGAAGCAAGTATCTTAGTGCCATACACACAAACATCAAAGACAACAACCACCACTGATGACAGGGGCACAGAGATAAACTTCAGGCAATTGACATTGTTGGCAATTCCATTTAATTTTGAACTAAACTTCCTCAAAGGGTTTCACTGTCTGTGGGTGTTTTGCTTGCGTGAAAAAAAGGGGGTTCAAAGTATTGAGATGATTTAATTTGCCTGAATAAACACATTCATATATAAAACGTGTAGAGATAAGTTTTAACTGTAAAATGAATCACCAAACATAACGCAAAAACAGTGCATACGCTACATATACATGTACAATATGTGCACTAAAAATGTAAGAATTAAGTGGCAAAATATGGCTAGAGAGCCGTTTCTGAGCTGCAATATTATGGAAGAAACAAGCCGTGACACACATGAATGGGTAACTCTTAGCTTCCTTACTTGTTGGCCATCTCCGTGGTGAAGACATAAACAAGTTTTGTGCCTGGTTTCTGGCCACTCGCAGGTTCCGTTGTCGAGCCCTGGCCTCCCAGTGTATTGTGGGAAGGTGTGGAGGAGCGACTGAGTCCGGCATTGGAGGTAGAATGTGAGACGGAGTCCTGGGGCTTCACGTCACTGGAGTTACAGTCTGCAGAGAGACAAGAGGGAGGACCACGGCTTTAAGACCAGTGCAGGCCTATGGGTAATGTAGTTCTACGGAGGAGCTGCCATGAGTCAAGTTGATCAGCAGAGGGACTTCTAAGAATGCTCGAATGAACACGTTAACACACTTACTGAAGAATCCTTTGTCATCTTCGTCACTTTCTCCCCCAGAGCACCAGTCAGCTCCACTGTACGGCTGCCTCCTCTCTGCCACACACATCCTCTTCACCCTGCTACTGTCTGTACACACACACACACAACCGTCAGTGGGCTTCGGTTTATCTGTGCGAGTGACTGCAAAGTATATTTTTCAAGATGTCCAACTGTTGCCCTCTCTAGACAATGAGAACATAAGTATCTGCACTATCAGCACTTTTATCAGCACAAGATAAAGTCATGCAGTGTCACCAGTTTGGGAACAAAGCGTGAAAGGATAGCTACTGAAGACGTCATCAAGTAACTCATCAACCTTTGCCCGGCTGCCTTAGTTCAACTGTTTTATCATTCTGGTGAGAATAAAAACATTTAACATAGTCTCAGATTTGAATTGACTGCCATTATAATGCATACTGGGCTACGATGGTTGCTACTTACCTTTCTCCTCACTGGTGGGTGTGCCACCTTCTGGCTGCTCAAACGACTCTACCGAGGTGCTTCGCTCCCTTTTGACTTTGACCTTGGAGCTCGGGCCCGATGTCAGGCCCTGGCCGTTCTTCAGCCCCATGCCCCCGGTCACATTCTGAGCCCCTTTGGAGCCCAGGGTCTTGGGGTCGCAGGGTGAGGGCTGTGATTGGCTACCAGTGCTCCCTGGTTTGCCCTGATTGGGCATTTTAGAGTCTATCTGGGTGGCAGTGGAGGGGGACATGACGGGAGGGGAGCGTACCATGGCCTCCGTCTTAGGTTTAGGGCTGACGGACAAGAGGAGGGAGAAAAAGATCAGACATAATAATAGAGGAGACAGAAAGGAAAACTTTTTTTGTTTTGGAATTGGTAAACACAATGTCATTATTGCATTTGGTATGGATATCTATGAGCTCTATATTAAGCTATTGGTATTGGAAATGCCTTGTGCACAGTTAAACCTGAAGGAACAGACAGTAGAGACACAAGCCATCTATAAATGACTGCTGCTTACTGTTCTGAGAGCAGTTCAGTTCAGACAGGACACATCCAACTGGCAGAGAACACCCTTACCACACCCTAATCTCTGTCTCTCTCTCCCTAATGTGCACGCAGACACACACACACACACACACACACACACACACACACACACACACACACGTACCAGTAGCATGAAACAAATGCCAACATGTCCAAAAAGCACCGTTGCAGCCGAGCACACTGTCTGTACGTTCACAAAGACACACAGAATCTTGGCAGTCCAGACAGCTGTTTCCAGAGGCTCCAGAACCATGAGTCAGCAGGGAAAACTTCCAACCTCAGTGTACTCCCTGACCCTAGAACAGCTCTGGAGCACACATCAAGACCTTGCCGGTTTAAAGAATGATGCGGGGAAGCTGATCTTGGATCTGCATTACACCAGACCTACACCTGCTTGCTAAGCAGCACAGGTACGGCCAAAGTGACATGCTCAGGTTTGTGTTAACTAAAACTCAGTTTCACTACGGATCACATAGCATGTATACACTAACACCACAACATCAAACACATGTTCAGTAACATGGAGCCTCCCGCCACAGACCAAGCCACCGGCTTTAGAGATGGTTGCTCGCTTACTTTAATAGTTGGGATGGGTCATATTTTCCCATAGGGATTTATAAAGTATGACAACAAATGCTGCTTCACGGCCTTTGCTGCACAATGTGCACCTTGCAACGGTTCAGATACGAGTGAACATACCAAACACCGGCATGAGGGATGCACCAATCACTCTGGAACCAATCATCTCAGCCAAAAAGCGGCTTAACTTGGCATCTGCTCTTGGCCTAACGGCACAAAATATATTTTTATTTTTACAGAAAATGGTTCCATACATTACAAGTAGCCTCTGTGAGTCAGCTGTTCTACAGAGACCCGTTTCTTTCACTTCATTCTGTTCTGAACAGAGGGATGAGTGTTTGTATTTGTTCTCTGCTCCAAACTGTTAATAAACACTGACAGCTAATGTTTATTTATTTTTCAATAATGGGAGATGATTACTTGCAACAGGTTTATTTACTGGACAGAAGCTGGTGCTCGCCCAGTAAAGTGTACTTTATGTTATTGATGTGGAAAGACACGACTGAGTACTTCAGTCATCGAGCTGTTAGAAGTACAAAACGACAACGCAGAGGACAAAAAAACGTGATTAAGTGTCACAACAATGTTATGCAGCCATAAAAATCATCTGTTTAACATAATGCGGTTATCATTTTTTTAATTCTGCTAGTTGTGCAGCTGTTCATAGAAAGTCTGGATTAAATGCATAATCAACATTCATATCGGTGTTTGGCTGATAAAACAATCATCAGGACCTCACACACACACACACACACACACACACACACACACACACACACACGGTCCATTGTGCGTCCACTCACCTCTGCGTGTTGGTGGACGGGGAGTTCTTCAGCCTATTGGAGTGCATTGATGGGGCTCCCAGGACTACGGAACAGGGTGGAGTGATGAGCTGGTGAGGACTGCCGGTGTGCGTGAGCGGCGCTTTTGCGCGCACGTTCCTGGAGCCAGGCGCGGGATTCCCGATGTTGGAGAGGTTCCCCCGACCGTCCTTGGCCTCCTCTCGCTCCTTCTTCCCTCGCTCCTTCTTGTTGAAGTGTGTCGCTGCTGTACCTGCCGCCGCTGGCCTCTCCTCTTGGACCTCCAACATTCTCTCTATGTCCTTGTCTGTGTGGGTGGTTTGTGCGCGAGAATGTATGTGTGTGTGAGAGAAAGTGTGTAGAGATGATAACAATAGTCCAGAAGTCTTTTCTTGCTCGGTGTGTATTTATGAAACTCCCCCAAGGGGGCTTTCAATGGCCCTTGGGCACACTGTTGAGAGAGAGGAGAGAGGAAAAGGAACAGTTAACAAAAGTGGAAAAGAGGGCCACAGTCTGAACAGACTTAAAGTGACACACCACCCAAAATCTATTTAGTACCAATCTACTTCTGTAGACTTGAAAGGTGGGTGTTGAAAGTTCGTCATTGTTATTTCGTAGTGTCGTCGTTAAGCTTTAATTCATGTCAGCAGCAATGGATTCACATTTTTCACATGTTGCAAGAGTGAAAGCATGGGAGTTAATAATAATAAATAATATCAGATATTCTTGGGTTGATACCATTTGTTACACATGGGTCTCAGAGGGTGAATGCTAAAAAAAAAAAAAAAAAAAAAAAAGTGTTTGTAACATACTGCCAGCCTTCAACACTACATTGAGTTTCATGGAGGTAGACCGATAAAAACTCTTAAATATCAATATTGGTATTAGCCCAAAAACATCCAAAACCCAACATCAGTCAGGTTAGCCTTTGATACTACTGTATCACGTTACCTTTTTAAATACTAAGTGCAGCAAACAGTGAAGTGTGGCGATGGAGTGGGAGAACAGTATACTGGTCCAAACTAACCGCCGTGCATTTCTCTTTGTGTGCGTTTGGTACGAATGAATCCTGTTCGAGGGAGCAGCCCAGTCAGTCAGATTACATTGTCATCCTGAAAATATTTAGGAGCTCTTCCAAAAACACTCAACATTGTAACTGGCTCCAGAGTTCCCCCTGGTGAGAAGGAGGTGGAGTGTTTGGGGGGGAGGGGTCACTGGGAACCAGACAAATACACTTGACTCCTGCTACAGCAGCAACACTCGTCACTCGCCGGTCTGAGGGGGAAGTGATTTACAACCAGCAGGGCCCACATATCACTACTGCACGCGAGCAGAGGCCGGCTTCTCCACAGGGACAGAGGAGCCTTGTGTATCCAAATTACACTGATTAGACGAACCTTTCTATCTTAAAACACACTCTGTGGTACAGGAGTGGGCGTTTCAGAGGAGCCATGGGCGGATTAATGACTGCTGAATTTGCGATTTGTGCGTTTACAACAGAACAGCTTGAAAGACCTCTATTATGGTGACATGACATGTTTGTATTTTTGCAACACAACATGCTTTGATACATAACTGTGGAAATTATATTGTGTGTGCGAGTTATTCTGCAGTAGTGATGATACGCACCACACAGAAATTGACTGGAATTTCACACAAGGGCTTTGGCTCAAACTATAGTCGTCACAGTTTAAACTTTGTGTCTAAATAATTTAACAGTGTCAGTAAAACAGACGGTCTGCTCGTGTCCCATCAGTCGTTGTTGCTGGAGTTGGGGTTTTGTTAGAGCAGATATTCAAATATGGGAAGTCAGAATGTGTGAGAGAGGACGAGAGCAGGAAGTGGCAGAAAATTGAGATGCCATTTCATTTTTCTGTTGACTGTAATGACTGACTTGGGTAAGTCACAGTGACAAGACCTTGTCACCTTACATCTCACTTGTTTATAGTCCTGTCATCTGTTCGTTGTTTATAGTCCTGTTATCTGTTCGTTTGTGCACTTTATTTTATATTTCACTTTATTTTATATTTCATCTTTATTTAATATTTCATATGTCTTGTAAATTTTAATATGTTTCTACTTACAATGATTGTTGTTGATTGTTAAATGTTTGCACCTCCCGTCACGCCAAATTCCTTGTATGTTCAACATACATGGCAATAAACGGTTCTGATTCTGACCTGCCAGACAACCGCTCTGAACCAAAACTGTCAATAATAACATCCAGGACAAAACAAGACAGTGTGGACAAAAATCCTAATTCCTTACAAGACACGTTTGATGAATGGGGATTAAAACGGCACGCAGAAATCATAATCATACATTACATTAAAAGTGACTTACAATAAATGCTTTCAGTTTATGTTTTTTTTTTTTTTATATAATATATATTATATATATATATACCTTCCTCCAAAACAACTACGAGTCATCAGTGCTAATAAACAAGTGCTTAGAGTTTTGTTTTTAAAAAGGACATCGGTGAGTGTGGGTGCTAAGTGTGCTTAAAGGCCGTGGTATGCGTCTGAGGACAACATGTTGGATTTTTGATTTCAGCTATTTGCAAAAAATCCTCTTTTTCCTGATCCATCATGAGACAGAGAGGAGAGGTTTTAGATTCCGTTTGACCATCTGAAAAGCACTTTGTTTGAAGCACAGTGGCATTGGGTGTATGGGGTCAGTTTAAAAAAAAGGCGAGTTTCCGGCATGCTGTCTTTGGATGAGGGGCCAGCCCCAACTGGCACGTGTGCCCTCGAGGGGAGTTATCTAAACCTAAACCCTAATCATACACAAATGTGCACAATGTGAGCATGCACACGCATACTGACGCAAACAGCATGACCCGTCAATCACCCGCTCCCTCCAATCGCAAGCTAACAAGACACTAATTGGGGAGCTTGCTGACATGACTGTCATAAGGAACGCACGCACGCGCACACACACACACACACACACACACACACACACATCAGGCGTGCACACTGCAGCCTACCATGCAAAACAAAACACCGTCGAGGCAATCATAGAGATTTTTCTCTCTCTATCTCCAGTAAAGACGCTGAACTGTCTATCACAGCACACACGGAGAGCTGCCGTGAATGCAAGTCAATGGGAAAACAGTATAATGAGGCTATAAAGATGAGCTTCCTGCCTCCGATATAAATACGAGGTTCCACATGAAGAGAGGGCAGAAAATAGTTCAATTCAATTAGGTTTGGGTTTTTCGAATGCGGGTGGCACTAAAAGGGAGCATTTAATTTCTTGCTTATGTAACAGCCATCGTACGCCGGCTGAGCGCAGTGTAGACCATCCCTGCTACGTCACCCAAATTCCTCTGAGGGGGCGATGGGAGGCTCTATACCAGTACAGGGTCCACTGGTATGG